TTTGCAGCTGCCTGCCAGGGTCTCAAATGCTTCTGACCAGGGTCAGGGCTCCTCATTAGTGCAGACAGGAGTTGTGGGCTCATTATGCAAAGCAGGTGATGTCAGTGGTGCTGCACACCTGCCCTGGTGGTTTGATTTTATTTATTTAATTCCATGTGGTTGCGTGAGGGATGCAAAGTGGATCTTGTTTTCTTCTGAGGTGCCAGCCCCAGCACCCACCCAAGGGATTGGCTCTGTCCATTGATTCCTGAGAGCATCCCATGGGGAGGGAACCTGTAATTTGAACACCCTCATCTTTTATTCATCCTCATTTAGTCTAAATGTCAAGGTTTTTTTTTTCTTTTTTTTTAATCTGAGAAATTCTCCTCTCTCTGTACACTGGCCTTTTTGAAGTACACCAGTGTCTGGAAATGGATGGCAGCAATTAGTATTCAGATGAAGGCACTCCTGATGAGCTTCTGTGCTGAACATATTTTTTAATTGTGTTTAAAAAAACACGTTTAAAAGTGTTTAAAGCCTCAGGGGTGATTGGCACCGCCTGAGCTGTGGCATGAGGTGCTCCCCTGTACCTCCATGGCTCACCTGTGTCCCTCCCTACCAGGGAGTTTGCTGGGATTTTTCTGAGCTTATTTGAGCCCCCAAAAACAGGCTGGAGACCTTCAGACCTGAACTTTGCTGCTCGTGCCTCCTCCAGCAGCATGAAAATCCCTCTGCCAGCCAGAGCAGCCTTGCTGGGATTTTTTTAAACTACAAAATCTTTTTGTTCCGTGCTAAAAATTCTCCCAAGATTTATTTAGCCAAGAGAAATGGCAGCAACCAGCCCTGCCTGGCTACTGACCCATGTCAAATAGCTTCCCCAGCTGTCCCTGGGTCTGTGTCCCAAGGCTGGAATTGCTGACATTCCCCAGCAGGCTGGGGAGGATGCTGCAGCCTCCGTGGCTGTGTCTGGCTGGGAGGCAGGAGGCTTTCCAGGAAGGCACAGATGGGGAAAAAAAAATAAAATAAAAAAAAGGAGGAAGGAAAAAAAAACCTTCAGTGGAAGGATCATCTCTGTTTTTCCCAGCTTCACTCCAGGCTTGGTATTCCTAGCTCAGCCCTCCCAGAAATACAGGAGCTGCCCTGGAAAGGGAGGGATTTTTCTGCCATCCACATTGGGAAGGGGTTTTTGAAGCTGAATTAGGGCAGTGGAGCATTTCCACAAGGGAATGTTCATTCATCCCTGAGCACGAGTGGTCTCCTTGGAGAAGCCACCAACCCTGGCCAGGTCACCTCCAGGGATGGATGAACTGCTCCCTTTCTTCTGCCTTCGTGCTCGATGGAAAAACCCTGGAATCTGGAATCTGTGGCTGGAATCTGCCTTTGGGTCCTTCTGTGGTCGCAAGAATTGTTCCCACGTGCCCAGAGGTGCTGCCTGTGTCTGCACGTCCCTTGCTGTCACCTCTCCAGGGTTCCTTGGTGTGGTGATCGGAGTGATTCCCACTGCTGCCCATCTTCCTGCTGGATTTGGGCCTCATATTTAACTCCCTGCACCATCTGATTGCTTCTTTCCTTCCTTTTGTTTTTTTAATTTTTTTTTTCACACAGGTCCACTTTGATCAGTTTAAAGAAGCACTTATCCTCATCTTATCCAGAACCCTGTCAAATGAAGAGCACTTCCAAGAACCAGGTAAATACTGAAATTAGCTAAAATAGTACATTTTCATTGGCAAAGCAGCTCTGGGTGGCTCTCACAGAAGAACTTAGAAGAGAAAGTGCTTTTTAGGTGCTGCCATCCAAGCAGAAAAGGCTGATCCTGGGCAAAAAGGTGTTGTAGTTTTTGTAGAGCTGGGGTAACTGAGAGGTTTAATATAAGATTGAGAAAAATAAAATTATTTGTTTATTTTTATTATTGATATTAATATATTATATTTTTTTTATATTTAAATGTATATTTCAATTCTTTATTTATAAAAATAAAAGATGCTACTTTATTACCAGTTTGGATGAAGGGTGAGAAACGGATTCTTTCCAAAAAGGGAGCTGAGCTTTGTTGTGGGACCATGTACACAGGTGTTTTGAGAGCCATTGGGTATTTCTATCCCATTCCCATGGTCTGGATGCCCAGAGAGGCCCAGGATGGCTGTGGGCAGGCAGCTGCACCTGGGACATGGCTCAGCTCTCCACCCCACACCACTCCTGGTGGCCAGGGATGCTTTAGGAGCAGGGAATTATGGCCAGGCAGACAAATGCTGATTTCCTGCTGCTGCTGGGGCTGGTGTTGGTTTAATGTGGTTTTTTTTATTATTATTATTTTATTCTCTTTCCTTGTGTCTGAGATGGGTGGGGTGTAGGAAGCTCCTCTGGGTTTCTCCCAGGAAACACTCAGACTCTTCCAGAGGTGTTCCTGAGCAAGTGAAGCCCCTGAGAAACCAGGTTGGGGCTGGTCAGAGAATTCCAGGATGGTTTCAGTGGGAAGAGACCACTTCCACCCCCTGCCATGGGCAGGGACACCTTCCACCATCCCAGGCTGCTCCAGGTGCCATCCGACCTGGCCTTAGACACTTCCAGGGGCTCTGCTGTAAGTCCTCAGTGTTGTCCTTGCTTTGTTTCAGTGTGCCTTGAAAATGGGGCATTTTTAGGCTTTCCTTGGCAGGAGTTATGGTTTCAGCTTGTGTTTTCCCCCCTGCACCAGGGCCTGGGAGCTGTGGGGCCATGCTGAGGGCTGAGCACCTGCAGCTCCAGCTGGTGCCACACCTGTATGTAAATCCCTAATCCTGGCTCTGGAGCAGCAGGGGAGCCAAATCCCCCAAGGAGAAAACAGCTTAGCAAAAGGAGAGAGAGAATTTTCCAGGTTTGCTCTCCTGGAGCATCAATCTCAGCTGGAGCATCCCACTCTGGAGAGAGCAGCCTGCCAGCAAAACAACAACTTTCCCCTTTCAATAGGATGCAAAAACCACAGGGCTGGAGAGGTGTGATTGATGGATTATTTTTATTTTCCACCTCTCATTTGCAAAGCTCTTTAATGCTTCGAGAGGGGTGGTGGCAGCTCTTGTACCCAGCATTCCCTAATGGAATTTGCAAGTGCAGGTCAGTGGGTGCTCAGGGGGGGAGCATCTCTTCCAACCCCTTGGGAAGGAGCAGGAATCAGCCCCAGCGAGGCAGAACTAATCCAGCATTCTGCATTTATTGGGGTATCATATGGCTGAGAAGCTCCAGCTTGATTGAAATGTAAATAAATCTTCCAGAAACAGCTACATTTGGGGTTATCACAGGGGAAATGACAAGCTGGAGAGCTCTCCTTGGGGACACTCCTGTCAGAGTGGGGTTGGAATGGCAGGGAATCAAAGGGTGTGGGGTACAGGTAGGGAGCCAGAGCCAGGCAGGCCTGGCAGGCATTTTATTTTTAATGCATTTTGACAGGTTGGTTAACGCCAAAGTCTTTGCTTCTTTTAATTTAGATCAAACTGGAGATTTGGAGAACAAGCAGCTTTGTGCTGTTGGTGTCAGACTGTCAGGGAGTGTGGAAATGCTGGTGTTCCAGCCTGCCCCAGGGCTAGGGGGAAAATTGAGTTAAGAGCTCTAAATTGTATCATTTAAATGAAAATTTAATTTGGGGGGGGGGGATTGGAGGAGGGGAGGGGGGAGAAGCAGAGATTTTTAAGGCTGTTTGCAGCATCTGGGGAGTTTGCTGTGGTGGTTTTCTGCAGGGATTTGGGTGGTGGGAGGCTCAGTGGGGAGCACTGGGGGTTTTGTGGTGTCTGGGTGCCACGGCCAAGGGGATGGCATGTCCCTGTCCCCAAGGGTGCTGTCAGCTCAGGGAGGAGGAGTGGGCACAAAGAAGGTGACAGGAAGGACATGGGGACACAGAGGGATGCAGCCCCTCTGCTGTGAGGAAAAGCTCAGAAATTTGGGTTTTTTTGGATTGGAGAAGCTTTGGGAACACCTTACAGCCCTTTCCAGTACCTGAAGGGACCCAAAAGAAAGGGATTATCCACAAGGGCCTGGTGTGGCAGGATTTGAGCTGCCAGAGGGCAGGGATGGGTGGGATATTGGGAAGGAATTCCTCCCTGGGAGGGTGGGGATGCCCTGGCACAGGGTGCCCAGAGATGCTGTGGCTGCCCCTGGATCCCTGGCAGTGCCCAAGGCCAGGTTGGACAGGGCTTGGAGCAGCTGGGATGGTGGAAGATGCCCCAGCCATGGCAGGAGATGGTTTTCAAGGCCCCTTCCACCCAAACTGATTCTGTGGCAGGGCTCTGGGGTCACGGGGGCTGGGGACAAGGAACCAGCAGTGCTGCAGTTCCTGCAGGAGCAGCCACGGGGGTTTCCTCATTTCGGGAGGAAGTGGCAGGTGGGAGAAGCACTCAGGCTTGCAGAGAGCAGCTGATAAATTTATCTATTATTTTTCTTGTCTTGGCAGAGAGGCTGAATTGCCTTTGCAAAGGCAAGGCTGGCAGGGAGGATGGTGCTGCAGGGAAGCAGCCCTGGAAACTGAGGCAGGCAGAGTTCCAGAGGAGCTGGGATCAGCTCTGTCCCCTCGAGGATGTCAGTGTGGGGACACAGACCCAGCTGTGACCCAGAGCATCAGCTGGCTGGGCAAAGCCCGCCTCTGCCGGGAAGAGGGCTGGGGAGATTCCAGGAAAAGCAGAAAAAAAGCTTGAATGTGGTTTAAAATCATGACTATTTTAGCTCTTGAGGTCCGTGGGACCGGGCTGGGTGCTGATGCCACCGCTGCTCTTTGTCCCCTCACTGCTGCAGCAATCCGTGGGCAATAAAATAGATTTAAGGCTGGGGAAAAGAAAAAAAAATAAGAGCAGTTGTGTAGGTGATTAGGGAAGAAAAAAACCAGGCTTTTTCCCCTTCCCATTAATAAATAAAAAGTGCGTGGAAGCTGGCCTAGGGAGGGATTATGGGGTGGAGTGCAGGATTACAGGAACACCCAGGAGAAATTAAAGAGCAGTTTGACGCCATCATCCCCACAGTCACGAGGGTTTTGGGGTTTTTTCCTTCCCCATTTTTTCCTTCTCCTTCTGGAGACAGCAGAAGTGCCCTCTAACAGGAGGGGCTGGAGGGGAAAGGACCTCATCCATGGGGGAAAGGTTGCTCAAGTGGCTGCAACACTGGGATAAAACCAGTGTCACAGCCCAGACAGGGGTGGCTGATGCCACAGAGTATTTTTGGGTCAAAACCCATTGGTTTTGGATTATGGCAACCCTACCACGACTCCTCTCTTCCTCCACTGCTGAGGCTGAATTATGAAATAGGACTTGGAGGAGTTCAGACATACCTGGTGCCTTGGGGGATTAGGATTTAGCAGATCCTGGCTGCCTTGTGCTGTGCCCAGCAGTGGGAGCATCCCTCCCTCCCTGATCTTAAGCAGCAGAGAAATTAATTTCACCTCTAAAGGCTGTGGGATGAGGGTGCTCCTGCTCTAAACCCCCTTTTGTCTGCGCTGCAGGGCTTTGATGCCCCCCCTTCCTCCCCATCTGAGGGCAGAGCAGGATTTTGAAATGACTTATCTGGTGCAGAAAGGCAGAAAATCAAGTGTAAATCTCCAGCCATGGAGAGGTTTCACTGCTGGGATGGATGGGGGGAGAGTGAGAGAGGGAATTGATGGTTCCTGTCCACGGCGCTTAAATCAGGGAGGTCTCGTGAAATGCAGATTTAGGGGGGCTTGATTCATTTCAGGGGCACTTGGAGGGCCACAAAGCCTCTGGGCAGTGGGCAGGAAGGTGAGAGGCTTCTTCTCTCAGCCTCCTCCTCTTGCCCCCAGCCTGGGGGCAGTTCAGGGGGGCAGATCAGACCCCAGTGGCTAATTAGGCACCAGCTCTGGGGTGGGTTTTACTGAGCCCACGCTTTGCCAAGGGCTGTAGGAAGTAGGGAGGGCTCAACCTATTTTATTTCTCTCTTTTTCCCCCTTTCCTGGTGATTTGTCAGCCACACCATAGTGGGGGTCTGGGCAGCTGCATCTCACCCTGCTCTGGGGGGGAGGAGTGGGTAGCAGGGCGTCCCCTGCTCTGTTCAGGGGGATATTTGGCATTTTTGGGGATAAACAGCACACAGGGCTGTCCCATGGGCATCTGCTTCAGTGGGAGGCTTGATTTTGACACCTCCTTGGAGCTCCTCCTGTGCCTCTGGAAGCACATGGGGCTTGAGCAGCTCTAAGGTTGGACTTGATGACCTTGGAGGTCTTTTCCAACCTTAATGAGTCTCTTACCCTTCCTCCTCAGTTGTGGCTGGGAGTGAGAAGCTGTTCAGCTCATCAATGAATTTCCTGCATTCAGGAAGCATGGATGGCTGCTTTTTAGATTTGTGTGTGCTCAGTATTCCCTAAATATTGGGAATGGTGGGAACATGCAGAGCACCAGGTGCTCTGCTGGGGGGTTGGGTTGGGAAGGCAGGAGATGGAGAGGCCTTTAGAGGATGCTGCAGGTGTGGGAGGTGTCTGTGTCCACCTGGTTGGGAGGTGATGGTGCTGGAAAGGAGAGGGATTTGTGCTTCCAGGGATGGGACTGCAGGATGTGGTAAGGGAAGAGCAGTGCTAACAAAAGCAGCCTGGCTCTGGAAATGGGATTTCAGGGTGCCTGAGCTGGGGATCCCCTCAGCAGCTGGGCTCAGGCACAGCTGGTTTGGAAGTTGGAGCAAACTTTGTTCTCCTCAAGCTGTGGAGGGTCACCTTTCCCTCTCGGGGATCTCCTTGAGCTTCACAGGTTTTTAATTACAAAAGGCAAACAAGCTCACCCGTGGTGCTCAGAGCACAGAGAAGAGAGAAATGAGCTGCCAGCCTGCAGATGCTGAAAGCACAGGAGTGGGGAGATGCTCCTGTGCTTCCCTTTGCTGTGCTTGCAGGGGGCACTTGTGTTTCTGAGAGCCACAGAGCAGCTTGGCTTGGCTTGGACTTTGAAAAGCATCTCATTCCAGCCCCCTGCCAAGAGCAGGAACACTTCCACTAAACCACTGAATTTCCAGCTGCAGCAGTGGGGAAACACAGTCAGTGTGGCGGGGATGGAAACGGGATTCTTCGGGAAATCCAGAAGGAAATTCAGCTGCAGCTTCACTGTTGCTAAATTCCAGCTTCTTCCCCCTCCTCTATCTCTCCAAAGACAGATGGAGGTACGGCTCTGTCTTAGGAATAATAAAAATGATTTCTGAAGAAAAACAAAGCCCCCAGCCCTCTCTTGTGTGGGAGGGAGAAAATAACTGGGTGAATGAGTAGCCACAAATATTAGCATTTCAGAGAGAGCTGCTGGATGGAGATTGTTCACCACCGGGCGGGCTTTAATAGGAGTGATAAGGTTTGCTTTTGTTCTGGGGCTCTTCCTTAATCAGCCTGGCTCCTCCTGATTTTTCTATCGGTGCACTCCATCGGCCAACTTTCATGTGCTGAGTCCCAGCTGCAGCAAATCTTGTTAAAATGGCCTTGTTCAAACACGGGCGCCGGGTTTGTTCCCTAGAGCTGCGCCGAGGCTGGATGGAGAGCGGGGCTGCAGGAATCAAAGCACTCCTCAGCCTGTGTATTTTATAATTCATTGCATAGCTAAGTTGTGGAATTTTTTTTTTTTTCTCCCCCCTCTAACAAGCTTGAAGCCTTTTCTTCCATATCTAAAGGAATATTATCCGAGGAGGCATTTGGGTGAGGGGGTTTGGAGACCCGCTGCTTTCTGTGCATCCTTTGTCAGTGGTGGAACAGCTTCCCTGTGCCTTATTAGTATTGCACTCTTGCATTTCTTTTATATCAGAGCCTTCTGCAAATAAAATTTTCAAAAGCTGCTCTCGCCACCACGAGTGGCAGAAAATAAAAGATGATGGAGTCCTGGGGGGTTTCGGCAGTCAGGTTAGCAAACACTGAAACAAAGCGTGGCACGGAGCCTTCCCCTAATTGAATCCCTGGTTAATTTGGTCCTGGTTTAATTTGCCCCCTGCTCCAGACGTCGGAGGATTCTCACTGAAAACAGCCCAAAACGTGATTATTTATTTTTTTGTTTTGTTTTGATCCTCGCCTGCGAGTGCTCCCAGATAATTCAGTCCCCAAAGGCAGGAGCTTGCTGGGGGAAGCTGGAGCCGGGGAATGTGGAGCCCCTGTAATTAGATGATGACTCCAAAGGGTTATTTAGATCTTGCAGTTGGCTTTGGCTGCTCAGCACAGGCTGGGACCTGCCCCACCATCAGCTGCTCCTGTCGGCCCCCGAGAGGCTCCAAACTTGCCCAATTTTTTTCTGCTCACCCGCTCGTTTGGGCATTTTTAATGGAGCTGAAATTCAAGCCCACGGAAAGCAGCAGCGGCCGCCCAGGTGTCTGCAGGGTCTGGAGACTTGAGCTGCCTCAGTGCAACTCTGTCCCTAATTAAACCTCCTGGTGCTGCTGATGGAGACGAGTGCGAGGAGGAGAGGCCTGATGGACTTTTCCATCCAAGGCTCCTGGCAAGATAGAGGGTTTCCCCCCCCCCAATCCTGTTAACTTGATCTGGGAATTGGGGAAGGGTGAGGAAGAGGAAGATTCTACTTTGTGGCAGCTTTTTTTGGCAGGGAGCAGCACTAAATCTAACCATCAGACCCAGCACCTGGGTGAGGGCAGTGGTGATCCAGGCACGGAGCTGCCATTGGCGTTTGCAATGGTGGCGGCAACCGGGTGCTCAAAATTCTGCTGAACCAACAAACCGGCCCAGAGAGAGCTCAGAAATCCCATTGCTGATGTGTTTTGTGCTTGGATTCCCCAGATTCCTCCCCAGAAGCACAGCCCAAGTACATCAAAGGTGGCAAACGCTACGGGCGCCGTTCCCTGCCGGAGTTCCGGGAGTCGGTGGAGGACTTTGCCGAGGTGACGGTCATCGAGCCCCTGGGCGAGGAGGCACATCCTGCACACATTGCTGCCAGCCAGGAGGTCAGCAGGGAGGGGTGGGTGCTGGGCTGGCCTTGGCACCTCTGGGCATCGCTGCTCCTCACATCCAGAGGGGTTGGGATGTGCTTGGAGCATTCCCAGCAAAGGCATCGGCCGCTCTCCTTGCCCGTCCCTAGGATGGGCGTTGGGGTGGCCTTGGCACCTCTGGACGTGGCTGCTGCCCACATCCAAAGGGGGTGGGGATGTCCCAGTGCCTTTAGTGGCCATTCTCGTTGGGGATCAGCCATGCCAGGCGTGGCTCCCTTGCTCCATGTGCTGTGGGAAGCAGGGAAGGAGCTGGGGTGATGTGCTCCTGGCACTGCTGGCTCCTGGCACTGCTGGCTCCTGGCTGGAGCGTGGGCCAGCAATTAAGCAAGGGCTGAGCTGCTGCCTCCGTGCCTAACGAGGTGTGGGCTGGGAGCAGAAGGAGCACGTCCACATCCATTAGTGCAGCTGCCAAAATCCGGCCGTGGCTCCAGCAGAAGGGGTGGTGAGCCCCAGAGCCCCACAGCCAGCAGCTGCTTTGGGACAGTGGCATCTAATTGCTCCCCCCAAAAAAAAAAAAATCCCCATTCCTGGTTTTGTGCTCCGGATTTGTGGCTCTCTTTGTGCCAGTGCTTTCAATCCCAGAATCTCCTCTTGCTTCCCCAGACAGGAAAGCCAAAGGAGCCGAGTGGTTGCAATTGGTGCTGTGTGTTAGAGCACAGCCACAACAGCATTTCCCTGGAGCTGGGCTGCTTCCAGCCTGCCCTGCTGTGCCAAGTATTGTTGATTCAGGAGCATGTGGTGGGAGTTTTTCCACTGGGAAGGAGAAGCACTGCTGCTTTCTCCCTCCCCTTGGAGCTGGGAGCCTCTGCAGCTGCTGTTGTAGGGGGACACCCAACCCTGTGTGAGAAAACAAGGAAGGAGCTCCTAATTCCCGTGGTTTCTGTGTTATTCCTGTGCAGCTGAGCTTAAAAATGATAACAAAACCCCAGAGCAACACCTCAAAGCAAAGCTTTTCCACCACTCCCAGCTGCTTTTCCCTGCTCCTGTGGTGACCTTTGCTCACCACCCCAGGGATGCTCATCCATCTCCTGGTGTTGGCCACATGGGCTGCCCTGACCTTGGAATCGATGTTAATCCGCCCACACTCCCCAGGGAAGTGATGTCCTTGGTGGAAGAGGCTACTCTGATCCTACCCCTTGGTTTTAGCTGTCACAGAGGTGTAAAAGGGTAGTCCATTAACAAGGTCAGTTAATTAACCCAGCTGTGCCGTGGGGGCTGGCTCAGTCTCCTGCTGGGAATGCCTGTTGCACCTTTTGGGCTGGTGGCATGGTTAATTCCTTTGCAAGTGGAGCAAAAAACAGGCTGAAGTTGTGAAATCCCTACTTTTATCAGCATTGCTGTCTCCAAAGCAAAGCAGATCCTCTTGGTATGCGTGGAAATGACTTGCTGGAAGGTGTTGTGGGGTCCCAGGGGGGGTGTTGGAGGCTCCTGGTGCACTGATTCCTTGGGATTTGGCCCGGGGAGCAGCTTTTGCCCTGCTCTCTGCTGTTGTGTGTACAAACACGCTGCTGGCGTTCTGCAAGCCCGTCCCTGGCCTGAGAACTGGGGCAGGATGGCTTAATTGGTGCTTGCTCCCAAGCAGTGCCAATTAAAAGGGCTCAGGCTGTGGCTGAGAGGTTTCCTTCCCTCCCTGCCTGCCCTGGTAAACACGAGGGGAGAAGGCTGGAAGGCTGCCCAGGGAGGCTCCCTGACCTCCATCCCCAGGGGATGGGGAAGGGAATGAGCAGCTGGGTGTGGATTTGGCATTAACCCTGCTGTGAGTAGGGGGGTGCTGGTGGCATCCTGAGGGTCCCTCTGACCTGCAGGAGCTTGTCCCTGTGGATGCTGGCTGTGCTGACTTCCAGACCTCGCTGAGCATCCATCCACCACCTCCCCTTCCCCAGCTGCTGGCTCTGCCCTGGGACAGGTCCCTCCTACTTGCAGGTTCATGGAATCCCAGGATGGTTTGGGTTGGAAGGGACCCTAAAGCCCATCTCATTCCAACCTTCTACCACGGGCAGGGACAATTCCCACTAGTCCAGGTTGCTCCAAGCCTTGACTTTGAGGTTTTTGAATCTGCTGGCACATCCCAGTCCTGTCCCTTCACTTCCACTTGCTCCCGTGCTCTGTGTGTTTCTGAATTGTTTCCAGCATGTCCTGGCATTGAAGCAAAACATTCCAGGAGGCTCGGGTTGAAACTCCTGCTTTTGGGTCCTCAGTGTGAGACTCCCAAAAGTGGGCCTGTCCTGGAAACCCAGGATTTGTGATTACCAGCTCAGGATAGTGCCTGCTCCCAGAAAAAGTGCCTCACTGCTGTGACTGGTGCTTTGGAGCTGAAGGCACTTGGAAAAGCCAAGTGTGGGGATTTGACAGCTTATTTTTGGGGGGGTCTCTGCTTAGGCTGCTCAGCCCAGGGAGCTGCTGTGTGGATCTGGGAAGAGCCAAATCCATCAGCAGCGGGGAGCAAGGACTCACCTCGTGGCATGCGCTGCTGATCACCATGTTAATTAGCAATATATTCCCGGGGAGAACAAAGGTCTGGCTGGCTGGAGCAGATGGCAGGGGGGGAGAGAGAGGTGGCTGCTGCCCCGTTCCAGGCTGCAGATGCTGCGCAGCATTCAGAGTCCAGAGCCATCTGCTCCCCGCACGCGCCGGCCGGGATAACGCGTCCCTGGCATCTGACCCGGGGCCAGCTGTAGCCCTGCTGGGGCTAGGGGACAATGAGTGGTGACATCGGGGTGTCCCACCCTCCCCAGCCCCTCTTTGTGTGCTGGGGGCTCGGGGTCGGCCACCGCTGCAAGGGGACAAAGGGACCCCGGAGGGAGGGGGGGTCACACGAGCGCCCCGGGGTCGTTTCTGGGGGTGCCAGCCCCAAACCCCCCTGGCTTTGTTCAGCCTCTGTGGGTTGTTGGTTGTGGTTTTGTAGAATCCCAGAGTGGTTTGGGTTGGAAGGGGAGCTTAAAGCTCATCCCATCCCATCCCTGCCGTGGCAGGGACAACTTCCAGCATCCCAGGCTGCTCCAAGCCCTGTCCAGCCTGGCTTTGAACGCTTGCAGGGATGGGACAGCAGCAGCTTGTGTGGTTTTGCTGGAGGTGGTTGAAGTGGGGGGGGGTCTGCTGCTCAATTAACCTGATTCTGTGTAAAAGTGTGCGTGTTGCTCATGCAGAAAGACTTGGAGACGGAGGATCTGCCCTCTGAGCATCGCTGCCAGGCTCCCCTCAGTGTCCCCAAGGATGAGCGTGGGTGGCTGCAGGGTGCTAGCTCTGGCACCCAAGCCAACCCTCTCTCTGTGCAAAGTTTTCTGCATTTTCAGATAGCAGTTTATCACAGAGTCCCAGAATGGTTTGGGTTGGAAGGAACCTTAAAGCCCATCCAGTTCCACCCCCCTCCATGGGCAGGGGCACCTTCCACCATCCCAGGCTGCTCCAAACCCCATCCAGCCTGGCCTTGGGCACTGCCAGGGATCCAGGGGCAGCCACAGCTTCTCTGGGCACCCTGTGCCAGGGCTCTGCCATTCTCTTTGTAAAAAAACTTCCAGGGATGGGATTTAATGGTACCCGTTGCCTCAGCTCCTGCTTTTTGTCCCTCCTGGGACATTGGGATGCTGAGGCAGCGAAGGGCCCTTGCCTGGTCCTGCAGCTGAAACGGGAACAGCAGCAGAGCTAAAAACAGTCCAGTGACTTAATTCAGTTTCCATGGCAACGTTGTAGATTAATGGCTTTTAGCTGTAATCTGAATGAGAAGCCCTGAACTTTTCTGTGGTGATTTAGAGCCTCTTTGTGTCCTGGGTGACTTTCACTCCAAATCCATCAGTCACGTGCAGGCAGAACCGTCCACTTGTACCACTGCAGGAGCAACATCTGCCACTGCTGAACCAGAAGTTCATGTTGTGGAGCATCACGTGGGAGTAAATACCCTGGGCTGCTACAAGGGTGGCAGGGATGAGACAGCGTGTAGTACATGAGGAAATCACCTTCAATGCTGTACTTTTGCTCCTGGTTACTGCCTGAGCTGATGGGATGATGCCAGAGGGAGCAGGGTGGTTTAAGACCACCAGAGAGTGGGTGTTTTTCCCCTTTGTTAAGCTCAGTGAAAGGCTTGTTGACAGCAAAGCTCTCTCCTGATACAGAGCTGTATTTAGTGCAGGAGGTTTGAATTTGGCTGGGCTGAGTGTGGGGGAAAATAAAGTGCTGGAAGAAAAGGATAACCCAGCTCTGTGATCATCCCTGCAGCCCCATCCCCTCAACCATCAATCCCTCAAAGAAAAGCAGCATGGTTTGCTCCGAGGGCACAGCTCTCCCTGGCTCCCCACACCCTGCCAGGCTCTGATCTGTCCCCTCTGCTGGGTCCTTGCTGGGGTTGGGGCTTCTCCTGCTGGGGAGCCACCCGTGCCAGGACAAGGCAGGATCAAAGAGCCCTGGATTGGCAGCCCAGCCTGCAGGGAGATGAAAGCCTGGCAGCACTGCTGGAGCCCTGCAGCTCCTCGGATGCTGATCCCAGAGTCTCTTTCATTCAGGGGATGTCCTGCAAGCAATAACTCGGGCACCTTTTGTTTTCTCCCCAGCACTGGAAGACGCGCGGCAGCGAGGAGTACGAGGCTGAGGGTAAGAGCAGAGAGCAGCACTGGCTGTGCTTATTCTCACTGCAGCTTTCAAGAGGGCTCAGAGGGGCTCTGGGTGTGTGGAGCATCCCAGCCTGGTGGTGCAGAGCTCAGGAAGGTGCAGCTGGGCATGAAAGCTAAAGCGCCATATCCCTTCTGCCCTCCTCATCCTGCTGTGGGTGTTCCTGCTCTCCCTGACCTCTGTCCTGGTCCCACTCCTGCCCCGGGGGGCTCTGGATGTAGTGGAGTGTGGTGGGCACTAGATGTCAGCAGGGACCAGTCATTAAATGTTCCTTAATTGTCACAGAATTAAAAAATCCTGGAATGGTTTGGAAGGGATCTTAAAGCAGTTCCACCCCGTGCCGTGGGCAGAGACACCTTCCACTATCCCAGGTTATCCAAGTGCTGCCCAACCAGGCCTTGGACACTTCCAGGGATAGGAAATTTCCCTGAGCAACCTGTGCCAGTGTTTTACTATCTTCATCACCAAAATCTTCCTCTTAACTACATCTTTCTCTTCCATATTTCAGCCGCTCTCTAACCCCATCCAAAGAGGCCACGTTTCTTCTCCTAAATCTGCTTTTCCAGCCCCAGGAGGTGGCCTTGCAGCTCCCTTGATCCCATAGCAGCCCAGGGAAGGGAGGGGTCCATTTCCCATCTGTTCCAGCAGCTGAGGAAGCTCTGCTGCTCTGCAGCCCCTGTTGGCCATCAGACTCATCCACGTTCCCAAAGATCCTCCTGGCCACAATCCAGCTGCTGGTCAGTCTGCAGCTGGTCAGGCACTGGGAGTCCCCATCCCTGGGGGGGTGAAAAGCTGTGTGCACGTGGCACTTGGGGACACGGGGCAGTGGTGGCCTTGGCCTCTAAGACCATGGAGTCTAACTGTTCCAGCTGGCCAGGGAACAGCTGGACTCAATGGTCTTGGAGGTTTTTTTCCCCCAACCTCAGCAATTCCATGGTTCTGTGGACACGAGGCTCCTTCCCCTGGTGGCACAAGTGAGCGAAATGCTGAGCAGAACCTTCTGCCAGAGCCTGATACTGCTGGGACCAGCATCCACATCCTAAAATCCAGAGTGGGCTCTGAGCAGGATGAACCCAGACAAGTGATCCCTTGGGTTCTGCAGAGCAGCAGCAGCCCCCTGTGGGGTGCAGAACCCCCAGATCTTCTGGTCCTCGCTGCAGCCTCCGGAGCAATCTCCCCCATTGCAGGGCAGCTGCGCTTCTGGAACCCGGACGACCTGAACTCCTCCCCTGGCGCCTCCCCGAGCCCAGACTGGATCGAGGAGAAGCTTCAGGAGGTCTGTGAGCACCTGGGCATCACCAGGGATGGCCACCTGAACAGGAAGAAGCTGGTTTCCATCTGTGAGCAGTACGGGCTGCACACGGCGGCCGGGGAGGTGAGCGACCACCCGTCCCACCGCTGCCCCTGCCTGGGATTTAGTGTGGGCCCCCAAAATCCCTCCTGGGATTCACCACAAGCACAGGTGGCTACTTGGAAAGGGGTTTCCAGCTCCAGCTGTTGGTTTTCCAGCGAGGTTTTTGGTCCCAAACCATCAGGGTGCTCTAGGAGAAGGCAGCTGCCAGCCCGAAGCGTGGCATGTCTCCTCACGCAGCCACAGGGGGATGTGGAATGGAAAAGCATGGCTTGGATTCCAAGCATGTCTCCTTAATCCTAGGAATTTTCTAGCTAGACAGTAAATATAGGTAAAATATTCATAGGTGCTTACTTTTGACTTTGTGAAGGCCTGTGGGTGTTTCTGTCCTGCAGCAAGAGCCCACAAGAAAATGAAATCTAACAAAAAAAAAAAAGCTCTTGTCAATTTAGGATTTAGTATTATTAAAAAAATCAGATTTTTTGCATCTTAAGATAACATGGCTTGTATTAATTTCCTCCACAAAACAGGTATTCCTTTGCAGCATTCCCAGTGAAATGTTTTTAGGGTTTTAAGGCAATGGAAAAGATAAACTGTAGACAAAGAAACAGTGAGGGACTAATCTGCACATCTCCAGTCCTACTTTTGAGAAAGCAGCATGCCCTGAAGCATCAAACAGATTTATGATAACCTTGCAGTGTCTTAGGGTTTGTTTTTTTTTTTGCCTGGTCACTTTGTGCTGCTCAGGGTTTGGCATCTGTCTCAGTACCTCGAGCTGAATTCCTGAGGTCACACTGTCTCAGGAGCAGAATGAAATGAGTTTTGTTTTTTTTTTTTTTTTCCTTGCTGCTTCATTAAACAGCAGCTCCAAAATGACCAGGAGCTTTTTTTTAATGGTGTATTGTACCTGCAGTTTTCCACGTGGAGAATATGGAAATATGTCAGGCTGATGTAGCAGGTAGCTCTTGCTTTGCTCTTTTTGGAGCCTTGGGAATAGGATGTTTGCTCTGTGCCAGATTTTTTTTGGCCTTTTATGTGATTTCTGTCTCCTTGCAGGTGCTTGAAGAGGTGCTCCATAACCTGGAACAAGATGGGACCATGAGCATAGAGGACTTCTTTTATGGCCTGTTTAGAAATGGGAAATCTCTCACACCTTCAGCATCTACTCCGTACCGGCAGCTGAAACGACACCTCTCCATGCAGGTGAGAAAGTGAGAGGTGAATCCTGGGGTAAAAGGAGCAGGAGAATTCCTGAACAATTCCCACCCAGCTGTCTCCTCCTCTTCCTCAGTGTCTGTCCCTGCAGGGGCAGCTTGAGGCAGGAGGTGGTGGCAGTGAGCTGCTGCATACCCTGCTCCAAAATTTCAAATTCTTGCTCAGAAAAAGCTCTTTTGGAGGTGATAAAACAGAGAACACCCTCATGGGAAAGGGGACATGGCTCCCTTCGAAGTTTTAGGGCTTGGAGAGGGCTCTGACAACCTGTGGAGTGCAGTGTGTAACTGGTAGAGCCTTGTAGAATTCCAGGGTGGTTTGTTTTGGAAGGGACCTTAAAGCTCATTCCAGCCCCCTGCCATGGGCAAGGGCACCTTCCACTCTCCCAGGGTGCTCCAAGGTCTGTCCAGCCTGGCCTGGAACACTTCCAGGATGGGGCATCCAGTATAAACTGGGTGCAGGGGGAAGCACTGCCTGGGATAGGCTGGGGACATGCAGGTCCCACATCTCTACTCCAATTTTGCTTTTTTTTCTGAGAAAGTTTGAAATCTACTCCCTGGCTTTGCCTGGAGGCTGAGGGCTCTACCCAAACCACTCTACAAGTGCTCCCTGCAGCTGTTTTCGGGAAAGTGACATTCCAAACCCAAAAATGAGCAGTGGAAAACCCTTCTGGAGCAATGAAAAATTGCTCCTCCTGGGATTTGTTTTAAATCCCGAGCGCCTGCTTGTGCCCCGGCGCCGCGAGGTCAGCGGCGACTTTTGCTTGGCAGCGAGGAAAAACAGAGCTTAATCCTTAATCTCTGGAGCAGTGCTAGGGAAATTCTGTTGCTAAACCCCTGTGGGCACTGCCTTTGCCCTGTCACATCATCATCATCATCCTCATCCTCTCTCCCAGTCCTTCGACGAGAGCGGCAGACGCACGACCACCCCCTCGGCCATGCCCAGCACCGTCGGCTTCTCCCTCTTCTCCAGCCTGGATGATGGCATGGGCTACGGCTGCGTGGAGGGGGTCCTGGACTGCTGGCACCAGGAGGGCATAGAGAACAGCCAGGAGATCCTGAAGGTAACCCCCAGCTGCATCTCACCCTCAGTTTTTTTCTCCCTGTGTTGGACGCTGAGTTATTTTTGTTTTTTCCTTTCCAAAGTCCCTGGTTTTTCCCCTTTTAAAACTTCCCACAGAGAAGCTGTGGCTTGTCCATCCCTGGAAGTGTTCAAGGCCAAGTTGGACAGGGCTTGCAGCAACCTGGGCTAGTGGAAGGTGTCCCTGCACATGGCAGGGAACTGGATGATCATTAAGATCTATTCCAGCCCAAGCCATTCTATAAAAATTCCCAGTGTTAGTGACAAGAGTTCTGGGAAGTTTCCAATCATTTCCTTTATGGTGCATCCCAGAGAACAAGCAGCTAATGATAAAAATACACTCTGATTTCCAGCCCAGCTTGAAGAGGTCACCTATATTTGTTAGGAAGTAATTTAATTCCTTTTCCTCTCTGAATAGCTGCACCTGCAAACCTCTCAGCACTGGGGTGACCTGAATTATTGCTTGTGCTGAGGTGGAGGACAGCCCTTGAAACCCTGCCCAGTCCTCAGTGTTCCATTAGACAGAGTAAAAAGGGTGATGGGGATGAAATCAGGCACCTGAATAAATCCATCCCTGTCCATCTCGTTAGAAGCTGTGGGTGGGAGAAGATAATTTCATGTGACCATCACTGGATTCCAAACAATGATGAGTGTGATTCTCCTGGCTTTTAAATATCCATGTGGGGAGAGAGCAGCCAGGCTGGAGTAACCTCTGCCATGGCTCAGGATTTAAAACCCACCCATCACCTCGCACTGGTTGGGAAGGTGGCACCACCTTCACCAGATTTGTGTGTCCACCTACACTTTTGTTGCTTTCCACTGGAAAACTGCTCTGTGCTGGTGTCAGTGGGATGGTTTCTCCAGTGTCTGCAGTGTTTCAGCCCCACCACAAGTGCTTTGCTTTGTGTTCCTGCAGGGTTAGGTTGGAAAAGTCCAGCGGTCAGCTTAGCCCTTGTTCACCACTAAACCCTATCCACATCCATAGGGGTTTTGAACACTTCCAGGAAAAGGAGAGGCCTTTCTTCAATGCTTGGAGCAGCCTGGGATAGTGGAAGGTGTCCCTGCCCATGGCAGGGGCTGGGACTGGATGACCTTTAATGTCTCTTCCAACCTAAACCACTCTGGGATTTTACAAAATTCCAAGCAGCTGCTGCTGATAACTTGTTTTCTGAGAGGTGAGATCCTCACCATCAAACCCTTCCTGCAGGGCTGTTTCTGTGTTGCCTGTGTTGCAAGAGCTGGTTTTGTTTGACACAGACATCCCCAAGCACCTCCTGGCAGCAGCTGATCCCTGCAAAGCTCAGTCTCGTTGGATCCTGCAGGGAATTAATGCAATTCATCAGTCCTGGCCTTAATTTCCTGTTGGTCTTGCAGCAAGAGCAGGACACTTCCCATCTCCTCAGCAGCTCTGTTGTAGGGAGGTGGCAGAGATGTCTGGTTCATTGCCCTGGGGGCATCTGTGACAGATTAATTAGCCAGCAAAGATCTCTTCTGAGCCTGCTCGTTCTGGCCTGTCAATGCCTGCACAAATGGCTCCAGGCTCCTGCAGGAAGCTCACCCTGCTCCAAGGCCTCCTTGTTTCCACAGGCTCTGGATTTCAGCTTGGATGGGAAGGTGAACCTGACGGAGCTGACGCTGGCGCTGGAGAACGAGCTCCTCATCACCAAGAACGGGGTCCACCAGGCAGCCCTGGCCAGCTTCAAAGCAGAGATCAGGCACCTGATGTGAGTCTCAGGGATGGCTGGGTGTGGGTGTGGATGTGGATGTGCTGCTTCCTGCTTTGCTTGGCCAAGCAGGAGCTGAGGGAGCAGCTCAGGGGTGGTGATGATCCCAGGGGCACTGGGTGGCACTGGAAGGCTCAGTTCTCTGTTGGAGTGCTCAGGAACTTCCAGCTGTCTTGTTTTGCCTGGAAAAAAACACTCAAATGTCCATGGATTGCATAAAAATGTAGCTGAAAAATAAAAAATGGAAGAAGCAGGCTGTTGGCAGTCTGGGAGTGGTCACTGCTGTCCACAGTGGTCATTGATGGCCGAGGAACGCGCAGCTCAGGGCAGAGGCTGGTGGAGCTTCATTGCCTTTAATCCAAACTGATCTGGGGCATTGCAGAGGTTCTGCCATGTGGTAAATGTGGAGGTGAGGTACAAACCCACTGTAAATTCCCCTGGTTTTCCTTTGAAAATCAACACAGTTTGTCTTTGTGCTAGACTCACTGTGCAGGTTTCTCTGTCGAAAAAGGAGAGTCCAGGGAGAGCTCAGAGCCCCTTGCAGGGCCTGAAGGGGCTCCAGGAGAGCTGGAGAGGGACTGGGGACAAGGGATGGAGGGACAGGACACAGGGAATGGCTCCCACTGCCACAGGGTAGGGATGGATGGAATAGTATTCCTGTATTCATGTATTCCTGGCTGGGAGGGTGGGGAAGCCCTGGCACAGGTTGCTCTGAGCATCTGTGGCTGCCCCTGGATCCCTGGCAGTGCCCAAGGCCAGGCTGGACAGGGCTTGGAACAGCCTGGGACAGTGGAAGTGGTCCCTGCCATGGCAGAGTCTGGAATAAGAGGGTTTTGAAGGTCCATTCCAACCCAAACCATTTCAGGATTTGAACTGGGGGGCTGGACCACAGCTGAGGGTCTCAAGTGTTGAGGTCTCTGGATATGTGGGGACACCAAGAGCTGGTTGGGTACAGGTTCAAATCCAGTTGATGAGACCCTTGGAGATCTTTCCAAGCTTCTTCTCTGACATTTCAAATCCCCTTTTTGGGGGAGCAGTGAGGGCTGACCCCTAATTCAGGCTGGCTGTGCTCTGCTCTGCCCAGGGAGAGGTTTGACCAGGTGGCCAGGGAGAAGGAGAAGCTGCGCTCAGACCTGGAAAAGGCGGAGAAGCTGAAATCCCTGATGGCCTCGGAAGTGGACGATCACCACGCCGCCATCGAGCGCCGCAACGAGTACAACCTCAGGTGGGGCATCTGGGCCACCCATCCCTCCTCCTGGGACTTGGTGACCACCCAGCTTCTCCCCCAGCAGTGTTTGTTGG